AATTGCAACTGCAGCCACGTACTCTTGTATGCATTCTTGATACGAGCTCGAACTCAATATATGTATTTTTCTGCATTTTTCGTATTCTTTTGTTTCTTCGTTACTGATCGTTGAACCGCGTATGAATGTTTATTTTACGTATTCAAAATTTGTTGAAAGTTGTTTTCATATATAATGGTGTCGACTCAATACGTGTAAATGAAATACTCCATCTATTTCAATGTGAATCAATGCATAAATGGGCTATCAATGGTTCAACCAACAGGGCCGACGTTGGTAGCATAATTATCCCGATTACCGAATTATATTAAACCGATTTCATTAGTTTACTGTCTAATTTGCAGCTATGCAATTTTGTCGAAGGAGTCAGAAAACTGACACATATGCGTTTATCTCATTGAGATTTATGAAACATCATAAAATGATTGAAACATCGAAAAAAATTGAGGAGTCTTTGACCCTTTTGTAATATAAAAAAGTAACGTACACTTTAAAACTTCATTTAAATAAGTAACTTAAATTTACAAAATAAAATAGACTCATTTATATTATATCACTAAATTTTTTTGAAAAATTTCATTGGTAAAAGTGAGGTAGTTGACGATTAAATTAAAGTCTCCATCACGAAAAACGATAATAAAGGGAAACTGCTGGCAAAATCTAAGTCAAGAATGCTAAATAATCACGGTATCACATGTTCATTCAATTTACTATTTATCATAATTACGATAACAAAGATTGAAATATAACGCAAGCCATGCCTAGCGTTAAAATCGTGTGGATTATATAGTAACAGTATAAGGTAAAATTTATGAGAGCAATAAAATGAGATAATTACAATTCAGATGTTTGAAGTATTTCCTGTTTCGGCCCTGTATTTTTATAGTAATATATTTGACATGCTCATAATCGGGAGAACGGCGTGAAATTGGAAAACCAGTAAACTTGTAGTGCATTATTGTTGCTTAAAAATAAAATAATTGTACTAATGCAATATCGGCAAATGTTTGTTATAAGGCTGCGGCAAAAGGTGGGTATTGCATCGGAGACATGGATTAATAATGCCACATTGAATTTCTGCACACGCGACTCAAAGCATCGGGACCGCACTTTCATCCTACGGCCTGGGCAACCGGAAGAAGTTTTGCGCGAAAATGATTGGGAGACGGCACATTTCCGATCATATAGTCGCGCACGTGGACTACTCGCTCCGCGTGAAATAATGTCGGGCCTTATATTGCCGTAACGCCTACGTTTTCCTGCCGACTCGTTTCGAATCAAAGCTTAATCCGCGATGTTCGTCTGAGATGCCGACACCTCTCTGTGCTGGCGCGCCCGGATCAGCGGCTGTCTTTTGAAAAAAAGGCCAGAGCCTCGCTACACGTACACAGTTACGTGTGCGCAGCACCAAGCCACAGCCGAGCCGCAAAATAATATATATAGATACTATGCGCGCTTATAATTGACATTTTCGCGCGTCGCGTAGGTAAGAGCACGCGGCGGCCTGCTAATTGGCTTCCGGTCTAATTTCCAATCTTGCGGTGTGGCGACGATGCCCATACGTAATTTACTCACACTCGTGCCTGTGGATACATTTTATCCAAACGCTCGGATTGGCGCGTGCAAAATCGGATTGTCATCCAAACGACAGAATGTTCCCGGGAATTTCTAAGGATCGTGTCGCCGAGTGGCACGAAGCTATAGTGGCAAATTCGATAGACCGAATCCATGAAGCAAGCGCTGCGTGCGTAATAACAAACTGCCGGTCTTACTGCGATCGAGTAATTCGCTGCCGGCGAACTGAAGCATGCGTAGGCTTTTCGATCTGCAGCCAAGCCGTATAAGTAAGCTCTCGCGGTCGACGACGTCGTGCGAGGTGCAGCTCGTTCTATCCAGCAACGGCAGTGGCCACCGCGTGGGTCTATATCCACTACTCTCTTGTGCTACTGCTGCTGTTCACATTTTTACTTTTTTATATCTGCAGCTACATGCAGCGTTGCTAGAGCTTGCTCGCGCGTATGCACATTTCCACCTATACTACGCTACGTGCGGTATATGTGTGGGCTGAAAATCAGCCGAGGAGTTTGGGTGCGTTCGCCCAACTAGACACTCGCTATCTCGACGTTACTTTCGTGTCTTTTTATCGCTAATTGTAGCTTATTTAAACGTATGAATCGGCAATCGCTATTCAACTTCTTTTTCACTTCTTCTAATTTTCCTTTGTTGATTTTCAGAAAAATAAGTTCTAAATCAATAATTGTTCAGCTATGATATTAATAAAATTAAATTTCTTCCATTAAGGATTTGAGAAAATAAGAAAAGAAGAAATTTAAATATCTGTATCACACTACAGGTTTTACTTTTTAACAATTTTTTGCTAAATCTACTTCAAATAGCGGTAAAAAAAAGAGTAGTATAGGCCTTCTAAGCTAAGTATTTGACACATTTTAAGTGCACGTCGTTGAATTTTCTCATTTTGTTAGTTCAAGAAAAATCTCACCAATGGGGTTGCCACTAGTAAATAGCTTTGAAAGAGTAATGTTTTTGAGGTCGTATCAAATTTTATCAAATAGATTGATAATTCTTATACACACGATATTGCGCGATTGGATTCATGTGGGCCCTTCATGTATAGATACATGTGGGCGTCGACTGCGTTTTTGCTGCTAAAGACGTGACTGAAAGCCGATTCAAGCCGATGATTTGACTGGTGGGCTGCTGTTGCAGCAGCTGATTTGTACTAAAAATTTTAGCTGCTGCCACGCGCTGATAGTTGTCCAGCAGCAGCCGCCTCTGCCTACTCCTATCCAAGAGAGGATATCTCGCGCACGATAAAGTTTTGATCCTAATTTTATTTTTATTCATTGATTTGCAATATCATCCCTGGGCATCACATAATTAAACTTATTGTTAAATTTTACTCGCCTCTCGAATACTGATTCATATTTTAATTCGCTCCCACTTACAATTTTGCGGAATAATGAGTAAAGAATCTATCATTCATATGATAGTCACAGAGGAGACATCGACAACGATAAATATAAAGATTAAGTTTGAAGATGAAGTTGGAAGTGGGGAAGAAAAAATGTCCAAAATCATGTTGTTCAAAGTGATATCATGAAAGAAATATCGTATTTAAATTTTCTTTTATTTGTTTCTCATAATCGGTTTTGTCCGATCTGTTTTTTTTTCTTCCAACGTATGCTACATACATTGTAGAAGTATCATGGATACAACGTAAATGTACTTTATATCCAGTTAGTATTACTACAACACAACACTTGTGTTGAAAAAAAATTGTTTCGCAATATAACTTTAAAGATCATAGAATAAATCCTAAAACTTTTGATCTTAAATATTGCGTAGCTGTCTATCTTTCAAAATCACTGCTCAAATATTTCAAAAAACCCTTAAACTTGGTGAAAAAAATAAAGTTCATTTTATAATGGTTTAATTCGATTCATAATTCGAAATTCCTATCAATTGTTTACAATTGATAGAATGCCATGGTATCTTAGTTGAAAATACTCAACCTAATTGTTAGTTAAAGTAATAAAATTTAGGATTCAAAATTATTTCGTCTGTAAAATAATAAACTTTGTAAAAATGTAGAATTCAATTTTCATTTAGACTTTCATAGGAAAAAAATAGAATCATCAACTGTTGAAGGTATGGTTTTTTAACAAACTCGCATTTGGCTAGTGCCGTAATCCTTCGTTTTGCTACAAAACCATAACGACACCTGTTGAGAAATATACTATTTCATTTTCACCATGTAAATGCGATTAATCGACGAATCTCAACGTTTTTGGTCTTCGATTGAAGCTCAACTACTTATCTTTCGAAATCTGTGCTCAAACACTTAATTGATTACTTAATCATTTAAAAAAAAGTCGAAATATACTAGTCACCTCAATGGACAAAAGTGTATTTTAGACCCATCACAAAGCTACCTCTATGAGGAAGCAAAAGTTACATTTGACAATCAACATAGTATCGAAACTAATATAATTGTCAAAGGTTTATCTCAATATTATAGCACAAGATATAATTATCCTCATTTCAAAATCAGCTGGCCAATAATTAGGTACTTTAGTAATTGATTCATTTACCTTAAATATAAATTTATTATTAGGATTATGTATTAGAATTATTTAATAAAAATTATTTATTAGAATCGAAGCCAATGGCTACGGCGCTTATCGTCTCTGTATGCCACGGCGACGCTTCGATATTATACACGCGCAGTGTCGACTAAAAATTCTCTCACGAAGATAAAATCGCGTGTTATAGAGATTCAAAAAGAGCGTACAATTTTACTAAGATATATTTAGCGTAAGACATCCGCAAACGATTATTTGACAAAAAAGCAGAATTGGTCAATAATAACGAATTTGTGACGCACAAGTATAGTATGTTAGAGTTTGAAGCGTCAGATGGTCACGAGTGACAATTTTTCAATTTGAAATAACAATGCCGAAAGAGCAAGGAGGCACTAAATCCAAGGTATGTGCTCGTAAAGCCGGCGCTCGACGCGACACAGAGCGCGCGCGCAGACACGAAATATCCTTATACGTGGGTAGCTGCGTATGTGTATAAGCTTTTTAAAAAAGTTACGAGATGCGATGATCTTGTTGGATACATAGCCGCTGCTGCAACATTTGAGTTTTTCGCGGCCGCCTACTCGCGCTTTCTCTTGCTCGCCGTGGAATCGTGCAGGCGTATTGTGTCCACTCACCGCATCTCTTCGTAAATCTCTCGTGTATACGGATCTGAATTCTTTCTCCGATACTTGCGCGAAACTTGATACTTCTCCAACAATGCCTAATTATTCCTCGCCTATATTATGTATTTATTGTTCAATGTTGCCAGCTTATAACGTATAGTAGCAGGCTGAGATTGATCGACTCGACTGCCAAGCTTTCTGAATATATGATTGAATATTTAATTTGACTCTGTATTTAATGCTTTTATTGTGCTGTTGTAATTGTTACAGTTTGTCGAGTTGGGTATAGTGACGAGCATAGAATCTAACAACAAGCCTGTGGAAACGGCACGCAAAGGTCAAGAAGTCTGCATCAAGATCGAGCCCATACCCGGCGAGGCACCCAAGATGTTCGGTCGACACTTTGACGAGACTGATATGCTTGTCAGCAAGGTGCGTATCATTGAAAAAACTTATTCCGACTGTGCATTATACGCGCGGCCTTGTACTAGTCGACTATAACGAGTCAACTCGTGATCCTCCCTCCGTGAAATAAAAATGAAATAAAAGTGCAATCGCGCATAATTAGAATTGTACAGAAGGATCTCCGACTCTTGTCAGACTCTCGTCTCGGCGACCCATTAAAGGTAATTAGGTCGGCTTTCTAAACGCAATGAAATCAGCTGCCATTATTGCCGCTGGCAGTGCAAAAGGAAGGAAAAGTCGGGAGTTTCCGCTGTCGGCTGCAGCCGCGTATCATATCGGTAGCTCGCGAGACTTTTCGTTATATAAGCAGTGTACGCCAGTGGCCTGCACTGCGCCGTGCTGCTGCACTCGATGCCTATAATTATCGACGTGCCATTCGCCATAATGATTCGCTTTCACGCGTATCGAACGCCAGCAAGGACAAGCTGCGTGCACGGCTCTACCTCTCGCTAAAATACCTCGCAAAAATTTCCCCCTCATCCCGAGACTTTCAACTACTGTGTACCGGTCGAACCAAGTCCAAGCCTTCTTCGATCTGCATCGATATATTTACTTCGTTTCGAAGCTACGCCCGGTATCCAAGTAGTTTTTATTGAAGAAACATTATTTTAAACGGCCAACGGCAGCAAAACTCGTAGTCAGTAAGTCCCTCTTTGAAGCTTTCGCGGCTTTGAAACTTTTAATGGCTCTAACTATATGCGAAATGGTACCTTGTCAGCGCGGATTCACTTTTTGTCCCTTTGTCCCTCCATATCTGTCTCGCTCTCTGTTCAAGAGCACCTGCGTAAGTGAGCGCAAGTAGCGAGAGGATATAGCTCTCTTTTTTCTCCCTCTTTCTCTCTCTCTCTCTCTCTCGGGCGCTAAACAGGTTTTTTCCCTTCTGCCGCCGTCTCCGGTCTGCGTAGCAGTTATCGCTTGGCTTGTGTGCCGTATTTAATAAAAAAAAAATGCCGTACAACCAACGAAAACTCGAGTCGATGAAAATCTGAATGAGTTGAGCAGCGAGTAATAAGAGAGAAAGAAAGAGAAGCCAGAATCGATGTTTTTTTGTCATAACCTCGAACAAACTTTATAATTCGTGAATATCTCGTTCGCTGCTATGCGAGCGTTTCCATTTGTACAAATGATACATTGCCCTTTTCGAATCCAATATCGTTCCTATGAATCCTTTTCTTTAATCAAATTTCCATTTGACAATCAAATATCTACGTAATTATTTTGGATATTGTCAATATGTTTATAGCTAGAGAGGCAAATACACACTTAATGTAAAATCTCTAATAATAAATTTGAGGATGCGATTATCGAATCATGGAGCTTATCGAATATCGAATATCGAATCGAATACCGAATGATGAGTCGCGCGAAGCGCGCTGAATGTCTCTATGAATTGAAGTATGTATATCGATATCGAATCAAAATCGAAATGTATAATCGGCACCGATCAGATTAAAAAGATTGTTAATAAATAATTCGTTAACCTGATCAGTCAGAATCTAATCTAATCTAATTAATATAAGAGCCATTGCGATTATAGATCGAATTGAACCCTTTTAGAGCCAACTTCATGTGAGTACAAGAAATATTTTAGCGTCATCTATATACGCCCTCTGTAGTTAATATTATCTTTCATATATTAAATTACATACTCATAAGAGTTCCGCGTAGCGCGCACATAAAAGTCTAGTAAAAAATCAAATAGTACATAACCCCAGGCCGAGGCGAAGCCGAGGCCGCAAAAGAAGTGCATAAGGGATTTCTTTTTTGGCGGTTAAGACTACATACGATATTTCATATTCAGTATTCCCATAATAGAATTTCGCTCTCTGCGCAGGCGAAGGAAAGTAGTTGCTTACGGGACGCTGGTAAAATCATTTATAAATAAAATATATCTATGTCTCATAGCAAAATGATGCTACTGTGGATTAAGAAGGATAGGACTTGATTTCTGCTTCGACCATCCATACAATGAAAATAAAAAAAATCACATTTAACGAAGACAATTTAAAACTGAACACGCTTTAAACCCCAAAGAGTTGACATTGGTACTTCTAAAAATTTATTCCCGAGAAACGTTCGCCAGAAATTCTTTTCGAGACCGTACTTAATAGGATTCAAAAGAGTAATTCGTAAACACTACACTTGAAAGTGTTGCGAACGCAGATTATTTTTTTTCTAAATTGACAAGGGAAAGTAATTTATAATTTGGATTGTTCTTTTCAAAAACGAGCAATCTGCGTTCTCATGAGCGTTGAACAACGTGAATCCTAGCGTTTTATCACAAAGAGTTTTACGTGAACATGTTATTTATTTTAATGATTTTAATGGTGAATGAGCTTTATTTTAATGATTTTAAGGTAGCTACTGTAGAGCATTTTAGATAAATATTCAGTGAAGATTCAGAAAACTGGATTGAAATTTTGATTTTTGGGCCGACTTCGATATCAGCATGTAGAGTTTTAAATTGTTTTCGCAAAGTGCCATCTTTAGCCAAAGTTGATTTTTATTATTTTTACGCAACGGGATGCGAATGTAGCGTCATTCAGAATTGTGCTCGAAAGAGGCATCTTGCTGGTTAATAAACTGGAAATAGCACTTCATTGTACTGCTCTGCGGTGCAACTTCGTGTTGCTAAGAAGTTTCGATATGGGATCATAAAACCATATCCAGCAATAGCTCGCATTTCTGCTTGAAAACATCTACTGGGGCTGCAATGTCGATTTTTGAAAACTAGTAACTTTCAGGCGCGCTTCGTGCGCTTAATTTTTTCAGTAGGTTTTTAAGAAAGTTACTATTTTGACCATAGGTGTCACTTTATTGCTTTTCGTCTCGAGGTATAAGTAACTCGACCAATCACAGGCCGAATAGATTGGCTTCACTTTCAAGTCCATCATTATTTTAAGTGAGGAGGATCATTTCATACGTATTTCATTGTTTTTCAATTAATCCCTTGTCAAAGAAGATCATTTATAACGAAGAGTATGTCATCATGTTCACTTAAAAAATGTTGTACCTCCATTAATGATTGACTCATGAAAAAAACAATAAAATAGTTGGCTTATAATTTTAATAAATTTGCTTAAAAATGCGCGCGAAGCGCGCTTAGCGATAACTAGTGAATGATAAAAAAAAAGCAAATAACAATGATCTCAAAGAGTCGAGCTATAAAAATTGGTATGCAAAAATAGAGCTAATTGAGGTACTGAGCTGTTATTAAGATAAGTTGAGAGTTGCCACTGCTTATACTTGTTCAGTACAACTAAAGTAACGGATCGTCGTGTTTGCAGCTGCCGTACGTAAATGCGAATATATGCTCTTATATATATACGCAACACACATACATACATATGAGCTTGTGCAAGATATACGAGAGCTATGAGCTATTATAAGCGTGCAGCTGGTATCACACATCATCGTTATCCACGCCACGTATCCACGATAACGGAAACGCGTAAACACGACTCTACATGCGCTGCCGCCACCGCTATATATATGCGATACATCCTACCTACCTCTCTTTAAATATATTATACACACATACATACGTGCTATATATGTGCGTTTGCACCTCCATACGCCGCTACCTGCTCGGCGTTTCCATTTTTTCTTCTTGCCATCTTTTTTCCGAAGGCATAGACGTAGGACACACACGTATCTACTGCATCATCGGAATTTCCGATTTCGCCAGATAATTGAGAGAACTTTTTCATTTATCCTGAAAAGTAAATAAAAATTCAATGCAAGTCATATCGATACGACTGCTCTCAACTAAGCTCTCCTACTCGACTATACATTCTAAATTCTAGATATTCCAACGACGTTGTTCTGCGCCAAGGAGGTTTTGATTCGTGATTATCGATGGTTAGGGCATTGTGTCCGAGCGCGGTTTCGCGTGAAAAAATGATCGAGTCGTCGAAGCGATTAGACGAGTCGAAAGGAGCCAGCTGGACAGGCTCCGTTGAGCTCATATATTTTCATCGTACATTCTAAATTAGTGTCCTAAAAAGGGTACGCTAAACTATCTGTTGTTCTGTCCATTGCTGCGTATACCCAGATAGGTCGACGATCTGGATGAAATGAATGTTGTTGCTTACTTTGGCAGTTGATCTGTTGCTACTGCCGCTCTGCTCGCTGGACTTGAATCGAGTAGAAAACTGGAGCTATGAAATACAATTATTGCCTGCGTTAAGATATCTGCATGCTCGATGCAGCTATCCAAAGCAGCAGCTCAGCGTGGCTATGGCTACGCTTGCAGTACGTATTTTTGTATGTGTATCGGTTAGGAGACGACCGGATTGGATAGCTGCGTACGTGGCAGCTCGGCTCGACCTCGAAATACGATTCTCGATACGATACGTGCGCGCGCTGAGTCTATCGCAGCTGTATAATAATGCATAAAATATACCCATAATATGCTGCCTGGCGAAAAGCGGCGCACAAGTCAGCAGCGTAGAGCAGTAGCTAGCTCACGTAAGCGCGTAGCGAGTCAAGTAGGAGGCAAGTAGTCGAGTGGACCATCCGAGGAGTAAATCGGTCGGGCCTGCGCGCATACAACGATCGCCGAGCAAGTATCGTGTACGAGAGTATAACGGACGGGAAATTCCGATATTTTTGGTAGCGCACGATTTTGGAGGCACACAGTGATATTCTGCAAAAGCGAGTACGACTCGATTAGAGTTTTAAGCCACAGTTGAAGGAGATGGTACGTACGCATAGCGTACGTGTGTCTGCCGAAGAGAACCGCGCACGCGTCGAAACGTGACCACGAGCAAACTATCGGCTTACAAACGTGCTCTGAAATTACTCTCCTTGCACGCGTAGCTATGGATCGGTGGATGGACGTCCGCTAGTCGACGATTCCACTGGATCTTCCGAGGCCTAACAGCATCCGTACTAGCTGCAGAGCGAGCTCCTGATTTTGCCGAGGGCTGATTTATTCTGTTGTTTGGGGCCAAAATGTCAGCTGC